CGGGGAAGGAAAACATTGTGAGGAAAAATGGGCTTGTAGTTAAATTCTAACTAAAAGTTTAAAATCGCCAACCCGCATTGAGCAATCGTGGTGATTAAGGCTCAAACCTTCTCCGTGTGAGAACCCTTTGATCATCAGTGCCCACTTATAGGCTATTAATATGATGTCGATGTGATCATTCATCACACAATCCATTTGTCACAACTCTTCCCGCTCCCGGTCATAAGAGCCAACTTAGGGATCTGCTGCCCATGAACAATACGATAAAACTGTTTTAATTAGAGGATTGACCTCCTCTTTGTGTTTTGACGTGTTGATGTTATTGTAGATGTCTACGATAGAAGCTGTTGTCTATACATACAATTGACATCCTCATTGATTGAAGGGTCACACTTGTGTGGGATGTCCAATATTGTAGCCATAGTAGATAGACTAAGTGTACCAGGTAGCCATTAGATGCAAGTGACAGATTGTCACCAACGTGTTTGGAAGACAGGGCTCAAACTCAAACTCAAACTCAAAAGCATTTATTTCAATTAAACCATAATTTGGTACTTTTGAAACGTCAACAAATATGAAATATATAATAGTCTGTCAGTCTGTCCGTCAATGAAGCTAGGCGCCCGTTCCAAAATGTCGATTCGAGTGGAGAAGAACGAGCAAGAAACTCCATTCGTTACTCTTTTAAAAAAAGTCTGTTTTACATTGCTCTGATACATATTCCAATATTATACACACATGTGAGAATAATGTAAAGACATACCTGACGCAACATACAAATAACAGAACATACTAAAATAGAAAAATAAAAACAAAACCAAGAGAAAACAAATATCTTAAGTCTGACATGGTCCTCACATATGTATACTGACAATCCATATATAATAGTGTTTCTAAACAAAAAAAAAAGGCTTTGTACAGCACTGGATTGACTGCATGTCTTCTCTCCGATGATGGTTCCTGGTAGGTAAATTGATTATGTCACTATATTCCTAGACATTAAAATAAGATAAACAGAAATTTAAGTTGGTATATTTAATGGAATACGGTAATGGCTATATTACATACGGCTCAGGATGGAAGTAAACGGAACGCTCCCGAAAATGGTGACGATCAAAAAACAAGGTTTATTTACATATATAGTAAGTAAGGAATTAAATGTCTCTTTTATGTAATAATAGTTGTAATTAACTGCTCAAAGCTGATGTCGCATGAATAACAGGAAAATAAAAACGATTAAAATTATAAAAACTCCTTTTTGTCAGCGTTTTTTGGAAGCGCGTTTACACCCTGTATTTAAAAAACTTTCAAGAAACACGTCTTATGTAGTTGAGCATTAATTGCCATGTGAACTGAATATCTGCTTCAAGTTTAGTTACAAAATTCACTTCACACACACACACACACACACATACATACATACATACACACATACATTGCAAGATAAATAAAAGATTGTAAAGGTGGGTGTAAGATACAAGTTTAATTACTGCCAAATCTCTCCTAGATTAATAGGCGTAATGTTATGTATGATCTACAAATTACAAACCGTCCTTGCCATGCCGCGTCGGAAGCTTTCGTAATACCTCGGCGTAGTTCGGAGCGATCCGGCAACTGCAGCTCGTGCAGGTAGCGTCCGAACGGGATTAGGTTGCATTCCCGTGGGAGGACGGGGTAAACAGTGAAGCGCTGTGAAGCGCTGAATTTTAAGCTTTATACACGTGCAAGAATTTTGAAAATCGGTGAATGTTAAGACGGTCTAATTAAAAGTACTTACTTAAGTAATTAAGAAATACAGTATTGCAAATTGGTAGAAAATGCTTACGGTTTTAAATCAGCTTATGCAATGTATGTTTGTATGAAGTTGACTGCCTCGTTGGCCGAGTGGTCGAAAGTGCGACTGCCAGGCGAGGGGTCTCGAATTAGATTCCCGGGTCGGGCAAAGTATTACAGGGTTTGAAAAAAATTCTCAGTAGTAGCACGGTGTCTAGAATTGTGCCCGGTATATGGCAATAGGCTCACCCCTACATGGGACTCATAACATAAATAGTGGAATGTGTGTGTTACATTATGCAGTGGCATAATGTTCACCTCTGCCTACCCCTTCGGGGATAAAAGGCGTGATGTTATGTTTGTGTATATAGTACTTTCTAAGATTATTTAGAAACCACTGCCAAACAGTGAATAAAAAAATCATTGAAATCCTGGACTTATAATTTCAAATTATATTCACTGCTATACTAATTATACCTAGGTACTCATAATTTCTAATTATAAGTTTGAAATTGCGTGGTGATTAATGCACAAACCTTCTTCGTATGAGAAGAGGTTTTGGGTATTAATAGCCTGTTGATGTAATGTAATTATTTTTGATTTAATAATTAGGATAGGTAACAGTTATATTGAATTTGTGAATTTCTACGTACGTAATCAAATGGTTCAGATATGCGGTGCCCCCGTGTCGGAAACATTCGGTTTAGTTCGGGTCAGGCCATAGCAAGTGGCCTCTTTGGTAAGGTCAGGCCAAGTTCACGCGGGTCTAGGGTCTGGTCCCGTAGAAGGAGAGTAGTAAATAATACCACCATGTTACTCGCTGAATTTTTAGCTATCTATACGTGAAAGAATTTTTAAAATCGGTGCAATTTTAAATAACATAGTTTATTACTCAAAAATGTTTCCCTTTTTCTAAATATCCCGAGGCTTTCTACGCTATCAGGTATATGTTATGAAACCGCTATTCGCCAGACTGATTATATACATCTCTTATACACCTTATAAACTCTAAAGGGTGGACAGAGGATGACATTAAAAAAAATACTCAGTGAGTGTACGTATTTAGCCTGACCTGATGAACTTAAACTAGGTCACTAGACGTATGTACATAGGTAATAGATAATCTATATTATAAAAGTTGTCGCGGAGAACCTAACGGGTTACCGGGGCTCCGGCTCGACGTGCAGGAGAAGGAACGGGGTGGTTTTTAGTCAGTAAGAGTCTGACACTCCCTCCCGCCTCACCCAGGCGGGAGCAGTAATTGGATAATTTTCCCCCCTAAAAATATTACCTCTATAAAAGTTAATGCGTTATATTTCATCAGTAACGTTGTCAGCCCTCCTTCATGAACTGTTCGATAATTCTTGTTACTTCTGTGATTTTGAGTCTAGTCATTGGCGCCATCTTACTTCTTTGTATGTTTGTTAACCAATCAGGGATAGATTATAGTCTAGAAGTCACGTGTAGAACCTAGTATCCCTTAAAATATAAAGAACTAGCTTCTGACCGCGACTTCGTACGCGCAATCCCGGTTTCTTCCGTTCCTGTAGGATTTTGAGGATATTTGTATCTTAAGAACCTTCTCCTAATAATAACAAATAGATACAACAACAAAAAATTACTGAAATCGGTACAGCCATTCACATGTGATGCCTTGACCAAGTATATAGATATATCACATAGTAGAATATGTGCACTTCTACCTCCCTTTTAAGAATTAAAAGGCTTGATGTTACATATGTCTGGACGGGAGAACCAGCTATCGGAAAGTTTCGTGAAACTTCGGTTAAGTTCGGCCCGACCGTTGCAAGCTGCTTTCTTGATGAGGTCATGCCAATTCCGCGCGGTCTTAGGGTCTCTTCTCGTAGGGATATTGGAATAAATAATGTAACCATGTTGTTCGCTGATTTTTTACCTTTCTGTACGTGAAAGAATTTTTTAAATCGGTGCAAGTTGAATTGATCTACTTAGTTGATGTAAAAATTTATCAAAATTGATAAAGCTCGAGGCAAAATTTTACATAAATGTATCATCCCATTTCACTAGTGGTATTTTATGAGTAGATTGAAGTAGGGATAATGAGGTATCGTATATACATATCATACACACGAAGAAAGAAAGATGCAACTACATAATTATCATCAAAATCATTGATATTACGAATATTTGTTACACATTAAATATTTACTACTCTACACACCCCTTGATGGTAAAATAGTCCTGATGTTATATTTTCAGAGCCATTCAGGGGCATGGCTGGGGATTCGGGGACATTCGTAATACTTCGGCGCAGTTCGCGTCTGGCAAGTTTTGCATTGTACAGCGGTTGCAAATGACCTCCTTGCTGAAGTCAAGCATAGTCCGAGCGGTTTTAGGGTCTGTTCCCGTATGAGGACAATGGTAAGTAACACATCCATGTAGTTCTATGATTTTTTAGATTCCTATACGTGAAAGAATTTTTAAAATCGGTTAATTTTCAATGTTAATCGTTACGATAATATTTTGTTTCTCCTTAATACTTAAATATTCAGGTTTATATCAGAGATCCTGGTGACGGGCTTTGTTAAGTAATACTTAACAGATACTGGGCACCAGCTGACAAAAAATGTAGTCCCTGATATCCACGGAAAGAGGAAAGTCTGCCGTCATCATCCGATTAACTGTTCACGATGAGGTTGAATTATTACATAACATCATGCCTTTTATCCCCGAAGGGGTATGCAGACATGCACATTACGGCATTTAATGTCACTGTACAATGTAACTCCCACTTTTCACTATTTATGTCGTAATTTGCATGTTAAAGGTGTTCAGCCGATTGCCATATACCGGGCACAATTTCAGACTCCGTGCTACTACAGAGTTTTCTTTTTAAATCCCTGTAATACTTTGCCCGACCCGGGAATCGAACCCGAGACTCCTTGCCTTTAAATAAAAATGCCAAAAAGTGATTTCAACTAGTTGAAGTTTTTAAGTTTCGTTTTATTTATTTATATCAAAATAAAATCAACCGATTTCCAAAATTCTTTCATCTATGTAACGCTAAAAAAATTGCGGATCAGATAGATATATTTATTTATCCTGGTCTCTTATAGGAACATAGCCTCAAGCCGCGCGGGAAACCTGAAGCTAAACTAGGTCACGGCGGGAGCCCTAGATCATAATGGAGTTCTATGATACGAGAGGACGTCACGGACGCCGGTGACAGCTGACTTGTGTGTGTCGCCTCGGGTCAAATAAAATAAAACTACTGTTTTATTTGATATATTTTATTCGCGAAAAGTTAATTAGTAGATAACTGATTACATATATTGTGGACATTAACAGTAAATCAAATTAAACGATCTTAGGATTAGTTTAGTACCAGCCCCAGTGTTACGGTGAATAAATCTACCCTGTTGATAAAGAAAAAAAAAAAAATCCTTAACTTCTGTGTGAGTGTCGTGTGTGTTGTTCCAAATACTGCAACACAAAATATCATGGCCAAGTGCGGTGGATGTGGCCAATTCATTGCTGCAACAGCTAGCATTCGGTGTGGCAAGTGCGCGGTCTGCTACCACCGCGCCTGTGTGGGAGTACCGCCTTCAGCAACCCCCTCGCCTGCATGGCTGTGTCCTGGATGCAAGGCGAAACTTCCCAAGACCGACAATTCCGCGACACCGGTTAAAGGTGCAGCAGCGGATTGTTCGGTCCCAAATAGTCCCCCCACCGTCACCCCCTCCGTGAGTCTGGATTTGGCGCATGAGATCAGAGCTTTCAGGGAGGAGTTAAGCGCTCTAAGAGTTGATATACGTGAGCTACGCCAGGAAAATGCACAATTTAGAGCTGCCATAAACGGTTGCAATGAGCGGCTGGACGCGGTGGTGCACAGGGTGGACAGCCTCGAGCAGCGGTTCGAGGCGAAGGACCCCTCATCGTATGACCATCTGGAGGAGACGATCGCTGACTTAAAGCTACAACTGAACGAGCGCGATCAGGAACTTCTGTTGAATGACGTCATCGTGTCGGGTATACCGGAGTCGAAGACCGAGAACCCGGCACACATACTTAAAACACTGTCGCTGAAGCTGGGGGTCGACCTTGACGATAGGGACATAGTAAACGTCGAGCGCCTCGGCATGGTACGTCGTAATTTTATCGCCGGTTCATCCCAGCACGACATAACGGAGCGTCCGCGGCCGCGCGCCATCGCGGTGCGCCTTTCTCGCCGTACGGTGCGAGACAAACTACTTCAAGCGGCGCGCGTGCGCCGCGGCCTCACCACTACGGATCTCGATCTACACGGCCAGCCTCGGAGGGTGTTTGTAAATGAGCACTTGACTCGCTCTAATGCAAAGTTATTTCATCTAGCTCGAGAGGCTGGGCAGCGTTCAAAGTACAAGTACGTGTGGACAAGGGAGGGACGCATCTACGTGCGGAAGGAGGACGGCGTCTCTGCTGTGCGCATTCGCTCGCACGCAGATATCATAAAAACTTTTGGGGACGGTTATGTTTGATGAGTGTGGGTGTTAATAGATATTTCTGTTCGGTTTGTGTATTTCACTTTGTTTTCATTTTTTTGCTGTATACCCTTTATCTTGTTGACGACCTCG